TAACGGAGCGGGGTGTCCTGCCGTGAGCCCCTCCCCCGTCCCAAAGCACTCACAGGCGGTCAGTGTCACTGTAGCCTCGCGCGGCAGTCCCCGCTGCAGTTAGAGCAGAGAGGAGAGCCACACTGTTGTTCACACTGTATGCATCTTATTACTGATGAGTTTAACAGGGTCGGTGTGATTTAAGATTTATAATAACGTGAGCGACTCACCGACGTGGCGGACCTGCTCTGTGACATCAGCTCTGATATCAGAAAAATCCCACATGGCCAAAAAGCTGTCGAAACACGAGCCCTCCTCCGCTTCCTGGATGGAGAGAAGACGGAATCAGACGGGAAAAGAGGGAGAGACGTCTCATCGAGGGACAGACAGTTTACCTGCACATAGGGCTTGTAGGTGAAGGTGTAGTGGTGAGCGATGGCGGCCAGGAACATCTCAATGCAGATGATGAAGTCCTGAACAATGAGGCAAAGAAACATCAGTCAGTCAGTCAAGAACCAGTTCATTCAGACGCTGGCACGTCCCAAATACCGGTATTGTGGATTCTTATGGTTTAAATATGATCAGCTACACAGCAGACACACTGGGCATCATCTTCTCTGTCTCACTGGAAATGTTTAGGTTTAAAGTTTTGTAGATTTTAAATGTTTCTTCTTCTGTATCAGAGTGAATATTTAGAAATAATCCATGTTTCTGAGCCTGTGTACCTGCAGTCCAGTAGCCACGGCCTCCACGCTGTCCCAGTCCCAGGTATGTTTGTCAGAGATCACGCCGACCTTCACCAGGAATGCTATCAACACAGCCTGCCTGAAGAGAGACCAGAACAGAGAGATGAAGGCGTCGGCACAGTTCACCTCGCTACTTCCTCCCCATCTCTGTCCTGACGTCCTTACCAGAAGGAGACAAACACCACCAGTTTGACACACAGGAACTTTCCCACAGGCCTGATGGGAGCCAGCTCCTCTCTGAGCGCTCGGTACAGCAGCACCAGACAGTACATGGCGAACTGAAAACACAGAGAGGATTGTCAGGAGGAAGCACGTCACCCAGTGAAGTCTGACTGAGACATGTCTGAGTTAGACTGTGTAGTGCTCTCAGCAGGGCTGGGGGTCTCATGTCTGTGTGTTTACCAGCTGTGATATGTTGTTGATGATGACCAGGTAGGACCAGGCGGTCCTGAAGCTGAAGTTGGCTTCGTCATAGACCCCACACAGCTGACAGATACTGCAGGCACACGGGAAAACAGGTTCACATGTGTTTTACAGATGTGTAGCATTTCAAAATGTCTCCTTAAATTGTGATTATGACACTGAATTTACACTTGGAAACACTGTTCTTCTGGTACGTTTAGATCATTCAGAGCAGTTATAGGCCTAAACTTTTAGTTGTAACCTTTGACCTTTAACACTCGAGAGCTAGTGTGGCTACACTATGAGCAGGGTTGTTACCATGGTTACAGTTAGCATCTTGCTAACTATTCTCATTGTGTCTATAGCACACAGTGTTATAGCTACAGCTACATCTTATAAACCATACAGGATGCAACAGTACTAACTCCATCACTTCTGCTGTGGTTACAGGAAACAGACGCCTGACAGCCTTGTTACAGTAAGAAACTTACTGTGGCATCACCATGGTTACAGTAAAGCCTACAGCGCTATCAACATCATTATAGGAGGAAACTTACAGCTTTATCACCACGGTCACACAAGGAAACTTGTAGTGCTCTCGCTGTGGTTACAAAGGGAAACCTACAGGAATGTCACCATGGTTACATAAGGAAACTTACAGGGCTATCACCGTGGTTACGGGTCTGACCACTGTGTACTGGAGGACTCCCAGCTTACACCTGAACAGCAGCACCCTGAAGGAGAAAGGGAGGCCCAGTTTAACGTCCATCTGTTCATCATGTCCTATACTTATGTCATATACTGTTGACGGCGTGTTTGTCGTACTCTCCCATGGGCCATGGCGGGCAGCAGCAGAGCGGGGGCAGGTGTGGCTGCTGCTGCTGGACCTCCAGCATGAGCACCAGGCTGGGGTACTGGTTACTGAGGAAGTTGAGCAGGAACACCAGGAAGTTGTAGATGACGTAGGCCTCGTAACACTCCCGGCACGTGTCCGCGTAGATGGCCAGGCTGGGATACCGCAGGGCCAGAAACTGTCAGCCGGCAGGAAGTAGAACAAACATTATTTTCATATGCAGACATGGCAGAATATGAGTGGAGGTTTACTGATGTCCACATGATACAGGAGTCACAGGAAAGAAAGAGGAGCGTCGTTTCATTAGCTGTGGTGGAGTTTGGTGGTATCAGACTGTATACGATAAGGAAGCTGTGTGTTTAACTCGTCTGGTCTCCTGGCTCTGTCCCTTTGTGTCTAATTAGGCCCTGTTGCCATGGCAACGTAGCAAAATAAAACAGACAAGATAAAAAGTGTGTGTTATTGTGACTCACACTGTCCAGACTGTAGATGGGCACCATCCATAGGATTCTGGTGAAGAAAGACAGAGGGAGTCATGTGACCAACAGGGTTAAAGGGACAGTCCACACATTTCCTCATTAGCAGTCTGCTGTAGCTGGACACATCATCAGTGCCACGCTGCTAAGTAAAACAACAGCAGTGTTTGTTTCTTTTGATTCCAAGTTGGTTGATTATTTAACACCTGATGGAGATTTTCTAATTACTACATAACAGATAGTAAAGTTTAATGATTTGAGACAGATGAGATCCAGTAGAGCTGCAGGGGAAACGAAGCACAGCTTTTCTTATTTTCTTTTATTGGTGTAAACCATTAATTTAACAATTAGGTCAGGATTTTTTTAAGCTCTAAAACAACAGTCAGATGTGTATATGAATGCTGAAACAGGCTTTGCATGCTGTAATCACTCCTTTGGTTCACAGTGACCATTAAAGGACCCCTTTCTAATGTGCTTTCAGTGTGAAGTGATGCCATGCTCTGTGTAAAAATACATGTAAAAATGTATCTGAAGCTAATGTGAGGCTGTAGCTGTAAAATGTAGGTAAAATAAAATGGGTCGCTTCCAAAGTTTCAACCTCTTTAGCACAAAGTATCTTTGTTTCTCTTAGCTTCCAAAGTTTCAGCCTGTTTAGCACAAAGTATCTTTGTTTCTCTTTCTTTCACTGCAGCTCAAACACAAAGGACAGACTTGATGATTAAAAGGCCATGAATTCAGAACATGCTTACTTGCTGCATCTACCTTTAGAACTCCATCACCTGCACTGAAAGCATTTTAGGAAAGTCTCTCGATGGCACAGCAGTGTTGTGTTTACCTGATGATGGGCTTCTGCAGCTCAGGCTGGGTGTAGTGCACCATGTGCTGCAGAATCCCCCACAGTGAAATTGGGATGGTCAGAAAGACGAAAACACCAGCGATGAACCAGGCTTTACTGTGTGTCCCGACCTGGACCAAGACACACACAGGGACCCAGAGCTGTCAGTATTGTGTAGTGTAGATATGTGTAAGACCCCTGAGTGTCCAGCTTTGGTCAGAGAGGCAGCAGGTCTGGGTGGAGGCGATGAAGACGGCGGTGTACCTTATCTTTCTGCAGCTCCCAGATGCACAGCGGCAGCACGGCCACCAGCAAGAGAGCATAGAGGAGCAGGACCAGCGGGCGGATCCACCTCCTCCACTCTGCACAGGAACAGGGCATGGCGGCTGATTCACCCTCAGCGTCGACTACAGGCACATCCTAAACCGCAGACCTCACTGGGGGACTGGAGTTTGGAAGGTATAGTCAGTGATTTAAACTGGGTGAAGACGTCTGTCTAGCCTGGTTTAGCTAGGTGCCAGAATTTGGCACATTAAAAATCCAATTATCATATTTTGACTACAGCATCACACACAGCAAAGTCTAGCAGATATACTGTAAATAATTCAGTGCTCAGTTTCAGTCAGGTGAGCTGAACTTGGGCATTTTGTCATCAGACTTGGAAAAATGAATTAACATTTAGAATTGAGGTAAATTAGAAAGTACATTGGTCAGAGAGGCAGCGGGGCAACTGACGTTTGTGAGAAATACATGGCAGACTACTGTGACAATGCACCAACTCCATCCATCCCTTACATAAGTTCATATAATATGAGAAAACGCATTTCAGTAATGTTTTCCATCAACATAGTGCATTTACAGAAATACAAATTAATGCTATAAAGTAGCTACTAAACCCTTTGACCCCTCCAAAGCCTCACAGAGTCTGTTAGACGTTAGAAATGGTATAAAACGTTTATAACATCTCCAAGAATTAGCATAAAGTGCAGTGAGGTCAAAAGGAGCCATTTCCTGTTAACAGTTGGCTGAAAAGAACAAATCTGGACAAATATATGTGCTCACTGATGAAAGCAGGGCGTTGAGGAGAGAAGACATTTAAAACACGGCTCAATAAATCCTGATGACAGAACAGACCTGGACCTTTGAAGCTGGAGATGTTCATGCTGAGTGATGCTGGCCTGTTTTCCTCCTCAGTCCTGTTTCTGTTACCAGGCAACGCATCTCTCTTCCGCCTGACTGACGCCCAGACGTCACTGTTTGATCCGATTACCAGCTGATCATCGATCCCTCATCGATCACAGCGATCCGGTGGTGAGTCTGCGGAGGTCGGACACACAACAGATGGCTCGTGTTTGCAGCAGCTGGCCGTGTTTGTCCTCCCGTCTCCCGTGTTGACGCGCCCGCGTCACCGGGAGGGAACCGTCTCCGTCGGTCACGTGTTCGGTGGAAAACAGCGCTCTCATCCACAAGTTGGGCTGTTTTAATTTAATTCACGTCCACTACGCACTGCTGTCTTATAAATAGGCTTTGATTATCTGGATCTTTAAATGTCTTCACCTTACTGCTCTAAAGAGGCCAACTCAAAACCTTTACAGTGTTAAAATAAGAGGCCAACTCAAAACCTTTACAGTGTTAAAATAAGAGGCCAACTCAAAACCTTTACAGTGTTAAAATAAGAGGCCAACTCAAAACCTTTACAGTGTTAAAATGTAAGTAAAAGGGCTACGATCAGAATTTTAGCCAACTGAAGTAAAGGTACAAAGGTATCAGCATCACAAAGAGTATAAGTACTCATTATTGTGTCCATCACTTTAATGTTGCAGCTGGTAAAGGTGGAGCTGATGTTTACCTACAAATATAATGTGATGTACTTTACATCCTGCTGGTGGATTTTCTACCTGAGATCAATAAAGTCTCATGGTTTTTGTGTTTTATTCATCTGATTCTGAAATGAACTGTTGTCAAATACATGTAGTGCAGGAAAAAGTACAAGATTTGTCTCTTAAATGTAGAGAAATCAAGTACTTTTTAAAATCCTATTACTTTTGTACTTTTACTTAAGTCGAATTCTGGACTTTAACTAGGTATTTTACATAGTTATAATAATTTTACTTTAAAAAAGGTCTGAGTACTTCTACGCTGAACGTTAGCATGCTAACAGGCTAACTAAACTAAACACATTTAGCAAACACACAAACACCCACAAAACAGTTATTTATGGGAGCTTTGAGAACATAGCTTTTATTAATACATACAAATGCTTTACTTAAAATCCCCTATATGTAAGAAAACCACAGCTTCACTGGTCAGACCGCTGGTTTCTTCTCCTTTGAAAAGATGTGATGTTTTCTTAGCCCACTGGCCATTTGTCCGACATCGGGACCATGTTTACATTTTAGCCCCATGTAACTAGGGCTCCAAGAACAGAAAACTCATGTGTTCATCTGCTGATTGTGGGGTGTAATCAAACATTCGGCCTCTGCTAGTGTGCTCTCTGTCTACTGACATGTTCTGTCAGATATAGTGATTAATGCAAAATAACAGTACAGTATATAATACAGTGAATAATTACATTATAAATAGGCAGAAACTAATGGTTTTGTGCTGTATCACATATAGACATTCACTAAATGGACAAAAGTATGTGGACACTTTTGTCTGTTGTACCTGGTTTTAATAATTTTTCGGTTTGTGTTTCCTTTGAAAGGAAGTCACGCAGAAGCAGATTAATGTCCCTGATTCTGGACACAGTCACATAAAGGTGCAGTGTTCACACACGTTTTACATATTGTGTTTATACAGACACCCCGTTTTATGTTATTTTGTCACTTGCTCAAATACAACCCCTTCTCTCAGTGCTGGTGCAGCCTTGTTCAGTCCTGTTGAGTTGCTGATCTGATGATGTTGCATATGAAAATACAAACTCTCTCAGTGGTCTTTGTACTGCAGGCTCGTCCCGTGATGCAGAGGCAGCATACTGTTAGAGAGTGAGTCAGAATAACACCAGCAGCACAGACAGGACTGAGGAGAGAGAAGGACACAGAGAGATGGAGGGTAAGTTTGATTAAAGGGCTGCTCCGCTGATTTAACACTGTGCTTCCATAAAGTCTGGACATTCCATAGGGACAAATTCACAAAAAGAACAGGCAAAAATAGAAGCGTGCTAAAATGTCCTGACTTTCATGCTGCATTTAATCCAAGGTTACAGATTCTGAATCTCAAATGTAAACAGTCAACGTGGCTTATAGTGGATGTGTATGGCAGCAGTATGTGAACATCTGCAACATCATGCATCAACAGGATACACAACAAATACATAGGTTTACTCATAATAGTACTTTTAGACATCATTTACTAATATCGACCAAGGAGGTCGTCTTCATTTTGAAAGTTTTATTCATTCAGCACCTTTGGAAACCAGTTTCTGAGACGTTGCTATGTTGAGTGACGTCAGATTGTTTGCTTCTGGGTGAGTTGCGTGACTGAGACTCCCAGTCAGCGCCGTTCCATCAAACTTTTTCAAGTAAGAGGTTGGAAATTTGCCTGTTGTCAGGAACGTAGCTTTAGTTGCTAGTATATCAAGCTTCATGACCCCTGGATCCTACATTTCCCATAATGCAGTGCAATAGCAACTAGTTTCCAAACCCCCACTCTCGAGTTTATTACTGTTATAAATGCGTCGTCTCCGAGCCCAGATAACCTTGATAACATCACTGTTATGGTTTTTACACTGGCCTAAGTTGGCCCAGCTGCACCGTGCTGACCCTGAGCATAATGGCATGTGTTTCCACTGCCAGTGTTGGGGGTTAGCACATTACTTTGGTAATAATACTGGTCAAGCTTGGTTGTGTTAATCAGAGGTTAACCTAAACAGAATGGCTCAGCGTTCTCTTGTTGCTACTTGTTGCTTATTGCCGCTACTCGGCTGCTCGCAGCAGATGGACAGCGTGTCTCGGTGCAGCAGTGGGAAAACCCTACACATCACATCGGGGTTATTTTCTCAGACTTGACAAAGGTCCTCCAGAGCCACAGGAGACATGTTGTGATAAGCAGGATTACTCTTCGTGAGCATAAAACTGGCCTCCATGTATAAAGTGTATAAAGCCGAGTCCCCCTTTATACCCATTATGTCCCTGCTCATTTCCCACAAGTCTTTTATCTGAGGTCACGACCTTTCTATGTTTATACGTCTCAGCTCCCTCCCTTCATCATTCTCCCTCCTTGAGACAGTCGCTTAACATCTGATATTATCTCACTATGTCATGTTATCTATCTCATGCCCTTTGACCCCGTGACCTCCTCACGACATCAGGCTGACTGAGATTCATAGATGCTTAACATCTACCATCTTTAAACCACACAGTTTTTACCTTGAAGCAGTTTCTGAACTTCTTGGAGACAAAGTATAGGATTATGGGATTGATGCAGGAGTTGATGGTTGCCATGTTTAAGCTGAAGTAGTCGAACACCAACAGGAAGCTGCAACCAAAGAAGAAGAGTGCAAACAATTAAATGTCAGAAAGAGAAGATAACGCTGAGTAAAAAGCCTTAAAATCACAGAAACCTGCAAGAGTGAAAAAGTATCTGGTGTTAAAACTCTAATAAGTACTGCAGCCAGTCAGTTTTTACTGACTTTGTTTTACTTGTTTGCTCCCACACCTACTTCAGCAGGTCGCAGCGGTGTACATCATGCGGTATGTAGATGGTCCTCTTCAGGATGCGACTCAGATGAAGTGGAAACCAGCAGAGAGCAAAGATCAGCACCAGGCAGAATACAGCTTTAGCGATTTCTCTACGCTGTGGAGGAACATTTGATTTGATTTGATTTGATTTATTCAAGCATGTAAAACAGTTGATATGACAACACACAATATCAATGTGCTTATACCTAGTACATGCTAGTAGGAAGAAGTCAGACTTATCCAGTCCTACCCCATGACATCATCTTACATCATTAGTTTGCAAGCAGTATCTCTACATAGATAATTATCTTCTACACCACACAAGTAATATACTAAAGAATTATTACAAAGTGTTAACATTCATACACCACACCCACAATGTTCCATCTAATTAATCATTAAACCTGTTCTTGCATATATCTTGATTGACACATACCTTTATATTTATGTTTAAACTCATCAATTCTATTACTATTTTTTATGTCCGCACTTAAATTATTCCATAGTTTTACCCCACTTATAGAAATACAGAATCTTTTTTTGGTTGTACGTATAGCATGAATTTTTAAATTTAACTGACCCCTTAAATTGTATCCCCCTTCCCTTTCATTAAATAGTTTTTGAATTCCACCAGGTAATAAATTGCTCCTGGCTTTATACATAAACACTGCAGTCTTATATCCCACTAAATCAAATAGTTTTTGAATTCCACCAGGTAATAAATTGTTCCTGGCTTTATACATAAACACAGCAGTTTTATATCCCATTAAATCGAAACATTTTAACAATTTAGACTGTATGAAAGCTACATTAACCTAACATTAGCCTTAGACACTGGCTTGTGTGTCATCATTCCCATGACAGTACTTGCCCTTATACTTGTGTGTGTACCTGTTTCACGTGTTCGCTCAGGGAGATCCTCAGACTTTCTTTTTGATGTCGCAGCATCTCGCAGGTCATCAGGCCGTAGAAGATAGCTGAGCAGACCAGAGGGACGCAGAAATAGAAGCCAAACAACCACCAGTCCTTCACATCCCGGTAGAGCTGCAACACACACAAACACACACCTTTCAAAACTCTCTACACCCTCAGTCTGTTTCACCTTACTAAGCACATTTATGCAGGTATGGTATTTAAAGGATGCAGCCGGTGATTTGCCATGCTTTTGTTATTTCCCACAAATCCAAAGACTAACAGTGAAGTCACTCTAATGTTTGTGAGTCCAGACCCTGATTCAGCTTATTGGTCTGTGCCGTCAACCTCCACTGTTGTCCAACAACTGGTAAACACACCCCAGTGAGTCACGCCGCTGCACTGGGGGGCGGGCTTCTCCATTAGGAAACGTGAGGCTGTCTGTTTTCAACAAAAGATTTTTGAGGATTATCTTTTCATGCCGCTATGTGCTTCTACTCTGCTACATTTCAAAGGGAAAATATTGTACTTTTTAGTGCATTAAAATCTATCTGACAGCTTTTGTTACAAATTAGGATTCCTGCATTTTTGCAACAATTTATAAAATATGGTGCAGGGGCGCCTTACACTTCCTCAGTTAGAACTGAAATGACATTGACAGAAAGGAGCAGGGGCGCCCTGAGCCTTATCTGTACCACAGTACCAGGCGATAGCAATAACTTAAATAAATCTAGAACCTTCATACAGTAGAACAGCTCTCAGAATGTTTACTTAAATAATAGTACGCCACCTTGAACATGCTCCCACGAGTAATAGTACTGCATTCAAATCCCCACTTAAGTAAAAGTGTTATGGGCAAATTGTACTTAAGTGCTAAAAATAGAAATGGTCCCTTTGAGTGTTAAGACTATTTTTAATATGATGTTTTTGGGATTCATATTACAGCCACATTAATCTTACTGTGTAGTTGATAAACACTGGGCCAATTTTAAGTACTTCATATACTCTGTAGAGCTTCACTGAGCACAGTTCACCATATTCTACAAGATGCCATGTTTGGTTTCCACTGAAAAATTGTAACTTGAAAAGTAAGTGGCAAAGTTGTCAGGCAGATGCAGTGCAGTTAAAAGTACAGCAAATCCTCTGAGATATAATGAAGTTGAAGTATAAAAATGCATAAAATGAAAATAAGGTACAGTACTGCAGTTTTAAAAAGTCTAAAGACTGATAGCAGGTCAGCTGACCTACAGCAGGTTCAGTTTGTTTATTCCAGTCAGGATCTGGAGACACACAGGAAATGGTTTTCTAAACAGTCTGCGATGAAGAGGCCCTGAAGCACAATATGGAAATGAACCAGAGTCCATTTATTTTGCCCACAGAGACCACTCATGATGTACTTTGCTCTTTTGCCTTTATTCGTGCCTATCAGAGTCGTATTATGAGAAGTGATTGTTGACAAGGGGATTCAGTCTTAGATCAAACCCTACACAATGTGTGTCAACAGAAATAAAAGTTCTCATGGTTTTCCTAACAACAACAGTGGCACCGAAGCAAAGGAGGTGTGTAAAATGATGCTGGAGATGTTGCTCCACAATGCTTTACTATAACCTTAATTGATTCTTTTATACTGTAAATAATTTCTTATTTTAAATGTCTCCTTGCAGCATTAGAAAGGTAATTTGTAGATTTAAACCTCTACAGACTTTCTTTGAAACATCTTAGCAGGTGCTGCAGTGGTAACAAAAGGTTCAGATCCTATTTTAGATTTAGCCGGTCTTTAGGAGTGTAGGGAGGGTCTACAGGAGCTGGACAGGCTGCTACCCACTCAGTGTAGGAGCTCTAGATAGCAATCAACACCATGACAAACACACACAGTGTTCTGTGCACATCTCCCTCTCTTGCACACATGCAAACACACACATCTTGTACTGTAAACACACGCTCACAGTCATGAAGGGTGTGTTGGGCTGCAGCATGCAGGTCGACATGGTTACGTTGTTGTAGTTGAAGGTGACCATGTTGAAGCCGACAGCCTCAGGCACAGCCAGCACCACAGACAGCAGCCAGATCGCCACAATCTCCACTGCTGTCACTGTGGGAACACCTGTACCCTGCACACGTGACCAGGACGCCACCGCACGATACCTGGGAACAAGATATCAGAGATTCAGAAATGACTTGTTGTGTTCATTATTGTAGAGTTTCATTATGGCTTCACTCACATGGTTTTAGCAGCGGTGGCTTTATGGGCAAATGAAACTAACTATTTTGCCTTGATTTATCAAATAAAGGTGCACTGATATCCACACTTAGATGTGGCGTTCTTCCTTCTGGGTGTGTTAGCACATAAAGCTAACATGTTAGCTACCTAGCATGGTCAGGATTTTACCTTTGTGTTGAATTAATTTGATTTTAATTTGGGAGGAACTGGAGCTTTGTGTCACATCAGCAGTAACTAGAGTTTCTACTGGACTAACACATTAGCCAGCTAATGCTAGCTTCAGACTGGAGGCTGCACTTTCTATAGTTTGACCCAACCAGGCATCCATAGTTTACATCGTTGTTAGGAAACAGAGAGGGGCAAAGTGCGGGTAGGAATAACTTATGAACTGTATCTCAGGTCATCCTTTAAAGGACACAGTCTACGAAGGCGTGGCCTAGGTAGCCATTATAGCCCACAAAGGCCAGACCATGGGCCAAACTAAAATGAGATGATCTGGTCTACGGAGGATTTCCTATTTAGGTTACCAGCTGTTGCTGCATTCCTCTACAGTTGTGTTACAAATTGCTGCTTCTGTCGCCTAGCAACCCTGACAGCTACTTTGCTTTCTGTCAGCATGCAAAGAACCCTGGGATAGACTGAGCCGTGAAGGATTCACCAGTTGGAGCCTATGTTGCCTGGTGAAAGGAGGATGCTTTTCTCGGCCAAAGGAGCCTTCGAAATGGGACAGCCTCATTGCAACGCTGTGACACAATCGGTCTTCAAATGCAGCCTTTGAAGGATGTGTCCTCTGAATTGGGACGCAGCTATTGTGTCAGTTTGCTTTGAGTCTCACTACACCCTCTAGGCTGAAAAGAGAGTAGGCTCAGGAGGGTTAAAGATTTAAAGGTAACATCATGGTCAAGGCTGTGGGATGTTTCAAATGAGTGAGTATAGTCACTATAAATGGGTGTGATACCTGTCCATACTGAGAATACACAGGTTGAGGACAGTGATGCCAACTGAAGCTTTCTGCAGGAAGGGAAGCAGCTTACAGAGGAACAGGCCAAACACGCTGTCAGCAAATGGCCACCGCCCCGCCAACAGCTGCACACACAGATCGGAAAACCAACACCATAACATCAACATAACATCACAGCATTATGTGTGTTAATGAGAAGCGACATGCTAAAGTGTGTACCTTGTAGACGTTAATGGGGATGTCAATGGCGATGCAGATCAGGTCTCCCAGGGCCAGACTGGCAATGAGAGCATTGGGTCCATTTCTCATGCTTTTGTTTAGATAAATAATCCTCAGCAGAGTGGCGTTTCCAACGATCCCCACAGCAAAGATCACACAGGACAGCGCTGTGTTGATGTACTTGAAGGCTGTTTTTATCGATGGGGCCGTCACGCAGGTTGGGGGCAACACCGGACGCATGTGGACCACCTGAGAGGAATTGGAGGAAGACGAGTAAGGTGAAGGCCTTCTTTCGTGTTTGTGTTTCATCTTGCTTGCATGGTTTGACTTTTCTAATCCAGACTCTACGGAGGAAAGGGGCTTCTGCACAGTTTCTTGCTCCAGCTGTGGCTCTTGGTCTGAGGTCTGGGTGTGACGGTCCACTTCAGGTTCTAGAGGTGGGTTGGTTCTGAGGAAGTGAGGCAGGTCTGATATCATCAGATCTGATAGAAATGACTCTGAGGAGGAGTTACTGTGGCAACCTACTGGAGTGACAAACACCAGACTTGCAACAACCAGTAGCACTGTAAACACCAATGGCATGGAGGGACCCTGGGATCCCAGTCTGGATGACATCCTGGCTGAATCCACTGCTTTTATTCCAAAAACCATCCTGGAGCCTGCTGAAACCCCTGAACTAATTCCCAAACCCACTGTAAGTCTAGATCAGATGCTGGAACCTCAACCTTTGGAGCCTTCACAGAACCTGCTGTAGCTTCAGAACTGGTCCAGGAACCCACTGTGTTTCTGGAGCCCAGTTTGGGACCTGCTGTTATCACAGAGTGTGTTCTGGAACCAGCTGTAGAACCTGCTGTAATTTCACAACCTTAAAAAACCAAAAACCACCACTGTGAATCCAGAGTCAGTAGATGTTCTAAAGGTGGACGTCAGAGCAGAGCGGTAGAGAGCAGAAAAGGCTTCTCAGATGAACTGGGTGATTCTGGACTTCGAGAAAATCTGGAGAGCATAACCAAAACAAATCAGGTGGTTTATTAACTTTGAAACTTTTGCATATTTAGCAAGATTTTCTCAAAACTCTACAACTGAGACAGTTAATGGAGCTTGTGCTCTTTGGTTTGTACTCCTCAGAGATCCGATGTAAATTTGTATTTTCTGAACTCTGTACACTAAAAGAATTAAACTTGTATTTGGCAGCTTGGGAGCAGCAGAATCAAGCTGTGAGATTATGATCACTTTCATGGTTTTTCCTCCCCGCTGTCGCCAAGTGCTGCTCAAGAGGGATGTGTTGGGTTTTCCTCTATAATAATAACAACAGTAAGCTCTAGACCTTATGTTGTAAAGTGTCCTGAGACAACTTTTGTTGTGATTTGGTGCTATACAGATAAATTTGAATTTTGAATGTGAATGTATCTGGAAATATATGAATTTATGGAAATATATTGTTTAAATTATTGTTTTATTTTCAAAGCTGTTTTAGAAAGAATGACATTTAAGCTTTTTGGGCTCTTACCGAGTTTTATTTGTGGTAACTTACCAGTTACAGCCTTAAAGCTAAATGCAAATTCCTGGGTCAACGTTAATAAAAATAAAATCTCAAAAAAAGCCTTCTTTGGGCCACTGAAGGGAGAAGAACAGGAGACTGCTTACATGTCTGTTTTATGGGTCTGTTTACAGCAGAACAACATTAAAACTGAACTGTTTCTCTGTGAGACCTTTGTCCAGCCACTAGTTTAACTGAAAATGTGAGATTAAAGTAAAAAATTCTGAGATATGATCTGTAACAGTGCAGTTATGTTCCATAATATCCTTATTTAAACACGGCTGTTAGGGAGAGAGCTGTAACGCTCAGGGTTTTGGAAATAAATTCAAAGTTGGATGAAGCGGGATGAGCTCACCTGTCTGTGTTTGTCTCCTCTTGTGGGTTTTAGTTGAATTTAATCCTTTAAAGAAGAGGAGAAGAAGAGTGTGCACGGCATAGCCGAGAGAAAACTAATGAAGTCAAACTGATGGAGCTCAGTTTTACTCTCTCTCTCTCTCTTTCTCTCTGATAGCTGTAGATGCTCACCCGCCCACTCCTCTTCGTCTTTGGTTCTCTCTTCTCTTCTTTTTCCCCTCCTCCCTCCAATATCCACCTTATCTTTCATTATCTGTCTCACTTTCTCTCCCTTTTCCTTCCTCCTGTTCTTCTTCTACCCCTCCCTTGTCACCCCCTCTCCTCGCTTTCCTCCCTCTTCTTCTCCTCTGTTAGTTGATTCCTTTGAAACGCCTCATAAACACGGACATGACTGAACCTTTACCACATAAACACACACACGTACTGGAATTAAAACTGGTTTTAACCCAGTTTTCCCCCTTAAGAGTAAGTTGATTTTAAAAAAAACCTTGTGTAAGTGGAGGCAGTAAAATTTATTACTGTGTCCGAACAAAAGATCTGATTTTATTTGAGTGTTTGAACACAAGTGAAGCCAGATTCAGTTCATTGTACTAAAACTTTGCTCATCTCAGAAAGTGTTACTTTATTCTCCTGGATTTAAACATATTTCAACAAGGAATTAATTTCTTTCTGTCAAACATTTCCACTGTTCATCTCAGACATTGAAGTAACATTTTAATACATGTAAAAAACATTTCAACTGTTTTATTTCTAAATGAAACCTTTGTATGCTACAGAAACTTTATTATTGAGCATTACTTCAATGAAATGCTACTGACAAAGTTATGATTTGTATATGTAAACCTCCAGTAAGTGATTTTGCCACTTTGGAGCAGCAGAAACTGAAACTGTAAAAGGCTCGAAGCTTAAAGTGAGATAGCTTTTGAAGTAAGAAACAACACATTTGTTGTCTAACAAATAAAAGTTGAATTCGCAGACAATAAAACACACCAGCGTTCAGTTCAGGCAGTTGTTAGCTAATGTTTGCAGAAATGATGATGATGATGGCTCTTAGATCTGAGCCTGCAAAACTTGGACTTAATACAGTTAAATTGCTAGAACATTTATGTAGACATCCAGCAGGCCCTGAGCAACATTAGTATTAATCTGGAGTTGTGTTTGTGTTGATGAATCACCCTCCTTTCAGCTCTGTTTTGGTCTCCACCACCTCCTGAGGGAAACGTCTGGCTCCTCAGCTGCTAAATGCTCCACTACATTCACCAGCTAGTCGCTAACTTAGACTGTCTGATGCTGATCTGGTAGCGTACAGTGGGTTAAAATGCTGTGGGTTCATTGCTTTGTGTGATGTGCAGCATTTGATCCGCTGTCATCAGAGAAACGTTGAACACTGAAGCGGCTTTAAGGGATGTTTCAGTTTGGGTCTTCGTGGCCTCACATAGAAAACCCAGAGCTTGTTTCTTGCTTCAAGATGTTTGCTGTTTTGCAGTCGACAATCAGTATTAGTCATTAATGTCAGTTACTTCTTCTTTTCTCCCAGACCCTTGATCGTTTTGTTTTCTGAGTCGATCCTGGAGCCTCCTCACCACTGATCTGCTGTGACGCTACAGAGGTTTAAACATCTGGCAGCAACACGCAACCTGTGTTCATCCTGACTGGAATAAGTTTGTGGCAGCAACACGTGGTGCATGTTGTGTATATACATCTGTGACACATGTGTTAGTCTGAACCAGTCATACAGATGTTCCTGTCTGTCTGTCTGACTGAATACAGCAGAAGCACAAGCCCTGACATTCTCTCAGACTGTTCAGTTTAAATCCATCTAACCTTTGACCAAGTTGAGCTTCATTCCGTGTCGGAGCTAAATTTGGTTTTACAAGACGTCCATGTTATCTCAGTCACTGAGTGTGTGGTGATGTTCAGCACCTCAGTGTGTGTGTGTTTACTGCAGTAAACACAGCTATGAGGATGAAGCTCTACGTGACTTGAACCATGCAGGGCAGGCACATAATGAGAGCTCCCCGTCTTTGTGAGGACCCTAACCCTGACTCTGTCCTCAGTGGTGGAATGTAAGGTACTTTGTCTGAGTGTTTCTTGTTCTGCTGCTTCATGCTTTCGTTCCTTCTAACAGACAATCCTTGTACTTTTTACTACATGTATTTGATAGCTTTAGCTTCATTTCAGAATCAGATGAATCAAACCAAACACAGTAGAACCATCAGACTCTATTGGTCCCAGTGGGATCCACCAACTACCCAGCAGGATGTAAAGTACTTCACATTCTAAACACAGATTTAAGTTAAAGCGAGTGTATGCTGTATGTAAAAACTCCTTTACCTAATCATCTGCATGACAAATGTAATTCTTCACAAATGTCATCAGAGTGAAACTTTTCCATCAGATGTCACAGCAGCCAGTGGTCGATGTGTTTCTGTTCTTCAAAGAGTCGCAGAGTTTCTAATAAAGTTTCATGTTCACGGTGGAAATCAGCAGCAGCTGAGACCGAGAGGCTGTTTCCTGTCTGTCTGGGTTTGATTTGCTGTGAAATGAGACTCTTTGGATTCATCTTGTTTGTTCTTCTCATTCTAATTATCTCTAAGTGTAATTTGTTCTTTAACCAACAGTACTTCTGAGAAAAGTGAGAATCAGGCCATGTTTCTTCACAGTACTTCCACTAGTGTAGACTAATAACACTCTGTAAGCTGTTGGTGGTCTGACACGACTACTGTGTGTGTTACTACTTCAAATTAAAAGCATTTAACAAACAGTCTTTATAGTTAGAATATACAGCATGAAGCCTATGGTTTTAATTTCTGCTATAAAGTTGGAACATACTGAAATAAAACAAGCTCTAATGCAGTTTGGCCACATGTGACAACTGATACTGTATGTACCAATAACAAAGGGGAACAAGCAACACAGGGTCTTAGACGTAAAAAAAATACTTTGCAAATGTTTTGACAATACATCCAAAACCTGTCCTCTATTGTTGTACTCAGGGGCACAAAGTGGGAGTCATGGTGTTGCATGTCTATGTGCAACAGTGGAAAAGTAGACTGCTTAGAACCTTTACTAAGTAAAAGTAGAAATACTACAGTGGAGAAATACTTTGTTACACGAAAAAGTGCTACAAAAGCATCAGCTTCACAATATACTTAAACTATCAAAAGTAAAAGTTGTCATTCTGCAGAATCGGACATTTCACATTAATTACCATCATATTATTGGACCATAATGATTGTGTTCACAGCTTTAACGCTGCAGCTGGTGAAGGTGGAGCTGATGGTAACTACCTGATACACTTATACTGTGAAGTACTTTACATCCTGCTGGGTAGCTGGTGAATTTCCCACGGGGATCAATAAAATCTGATGATTCTACTGTGTTTGATTCAACTGATTCTGAAAATGAACTAAAATGATCAAATACATGTAGTGCAGTAGAAAGTACAAGGTTTGTCTCTTACATGTAGTGAAGTCACAGTATGAAGTAGCAGGGCATGGAAATATTAAATTAAAGTACAAATACCTCAACTTTGTAATTAAATGCAGTACTTGAGTAAATGTATAGTTACTTTCCACCACTGAGTAGTTACCTTTACTCTTTAACCATTTTCCTGATAATAGCCTGCTTCTTTTACTTTTCTATTCAAGGCAGGACTTTTACTTGTAACTGAATACTTATTCCCTGTGGTACTGGTACTACGTTGAACATTTCTACTTAAGGTGAACAGACGTGTGGTTTCCGAATGGAACCAGGCCGCAGTTCAGCAGTGAGAGTCGGAATGCGGCCCCTCGGGTGTTGCCATGGTGACGCCGTAACTCGGTTGAAGGCGGCGGTGGGAAAAAAATAAAATAAAGTTTCAGCGAAGGTATGTTAGCGTTTCTGTTATTGTGTGTATTGTCATGTTTATGTCAGTAGAACAATGAAGGTATTTAAATACACGTTTCCCTGAAAAAGGTGACGTTTTAAAACTTTATTTGAGCCACGGAGGGTTTACGTGGTTGGATACCTGCTGGTTCACTTTATTTTAATGGAGACCGGAGTAGAACTGGATAGTTTTCTGTTTCTGAATATTCTTACAGTTAACTTCAGCCCTGCTAACTTGGAAAGAGTTTAAGAAAGCATGCAAAGAGTTGGCATAATGTCGCAGTAACTAGCTAACCAATGTAGCAGGCTAACAGGTGATCAGCAGTGAGTTTGATCCGTTTTAATCAATAATCACACAAGGTCACTTTACTCAGTTTTAGCAGCCAGTTATTAGGCTGGGACAGGACAGGACAGGAGTTATTGACACTGACCGTTGGCCCCATAACTTTATCTGTCATCCTTCTGCAGCACAAGGCCTGTGTGAGCAGCAACAGTCTGACAAAGCAGAGAAGAAGAATATTAGTTGGAAGAAAGAACCAATAATATAACAAATAACACAGGAACATACCATTAAAGCAAAACTTTAATATAAAACACGAGATGCTGAACAAATACAACATAACAGTTCAACAAAAATGTTTCTAGTATAATATACAAAATATTTGTCCAGAATGGGTGGAACAGGAACTACTGTGCTTCCTCTCCTGCAGGTTGACAGGCAGCTGAAGATGAACAGAGTGATGACGCGGTGACGCACAGCGCCTCTTCTACCTCACATCACCACCAACATCAACAAAAGGAGGAAAGGTTCCGGGTACAGGTGGAGTGTTTAGTGATAGCACAGGTGGGGAAGGACAGAAGTAGTCTGCTCCCAGTGTCTGTGGTGTTTACATGCCAGTTTTTATTTAGATTTGACCAAATTGTGCTGTATTTTTATTTTTTGGTCAAACATGGTTCTTGTGTCTTGGACCTGAGCAGGATTCAAATGTTTTAATGTTGCAGCAGCTCTGTCTGTTCCATACTGTGTACGCTGGCTTGTTTAGTTTATAACAGTGGCGGGGGCGGGAGGAGGGGCTCAAAAATATTTTACCCACAAAATGGACGGCCCAGCAGAAAAAGGTTTAGGAACCACTGGTTTATAGCATTAACCAGTAACCAGTCAGGGGAGAAACTGCAGAGCATCAGTGTAAAGTTTCACACATTAAAAACATGACTTAGAACAATCCTAGAGTAAAAGTGCAGAGATGTTTTATGTGTGCAAACTGTGTGTGTGTGTGTGTGTGTGTGTGTGGTCTGCAGGATGTCGGGGTCTCTCCAAACCAGCTTGATAGCAGATACATCAGTTCAGCTCCCCTCCAAAGAAGAAGTTGCATTGTGAGTTCAGTCTCCATGGTAACCAGGTGGATTTTGGCACAGATCTGTTTCTCCAAGAATTTGCTGTTTATTTTTCTTTCCCTCTGTGAGATGGCAGGAACGCTGTCATGCGCTCAGTTAACTTTCTTCTGGCCATGTCCTTTAACACCACACTCAAAAACCTAGAGACTTCAGTCTGCTTGTTGGTATTTTATCAGTTAGGACAGAGGTTTTACAGTACGTCCTTCAAGGAGGCAGAAACAATACATGAGATGTTTTATTTCATCGACTACTGACCGATTTAACCAACATGTAATGTGGCCATGTTCTAGCTGTGTGTGACAGGACATCCCCATACATTCAGCTTCTCCTTACAGCTTTCTCTCAATGCTTTTTGGGACAAATGACAATGAAAAAAGTGATTTGTGGTTTATTCTATGATGTAATTCTGTGTATTTAATTGGTTGCTAGCTACGATAACAAGTGACAGGATTATGTACATGTATCAGTAGATCATTCAACATTAACACTGTATTGTCCCCATGTCTTCACATCAGTCCAGCAATGTAATAAACCCTCAAACACACTTTGTCCAAATTCACTGCAAACGTCAGTCAGAACTAGTCCATTTATTTTAATATAGGTGAACTATGTTAAAAAGGGAAATGGATGTTTAAGGTTATTTTCCATCATGGCAGGATATAAAAATGTTAGTATTCAGTCTGAAACTGAACACAGGTTAGCTGCTCACTGAGCCAGAAACCTTAAGCAGGCGTACTGCAGCTGGGAGCTCAGCGATACTGATGAAGAAATTCAGAATGAATGAAAAATTGGACATAAAAGATTAGTGGGCCCTCTGCTGCTAAACAGCGGTAACCTGGTGAGTGCAGATGCCTGTAACATCTGTCCATGCTCTCCCTCACATCTGTCTGTCTCTCTCTACAGGTTCAGGAACAGTCTGAAGCAGAACATCTGTGTGCAGATGCTAAAAGAAGGCTACCACAGGTATCTCTGTCTGATCAAAGAAGAAGTTGCATTGTGAGTTCAGTCTCCATGGTAACCAGGTGGATTTTGGCACAGATCTGTTTCTCCAAGAATTTGCTGTTTATTTTTCTTTCCCTCTGTGAGATGGCAGGAACGCTGTCATGCGCTCAGTTAACTTTCTTCTGGCCATGTCCTTTAACACCACACTCAAAAACCTGCTTGTTGGTATTTTATCAGTTAGGACAGAGGTTTTACAGTACGTCCTTCAAGGAGGCAGAAACAATACATGAGATGTTTTATTTCATCGACTACTGACCGATTTAACCAACATGTAATGTGGCCATGTTCTAGCTGTGTGTGACAGGACATCCCCATACATTCAGCTTCTCCTTACAGCTTTCTCTCAATGCTTTTTGGGACAAATCACAATGAAAAAAGTGATTTGTGATTTATTCTATGATGTACTTCTGTGTATTTAATTGGTTGCTAGCTACGATAACAAGTGACAGGATTATGTACATGTATCAGTCGATCATTCAACATTAACACTGTATTGTCCCCATGTCTTCACATCAGTCCAGCAATGTAATAAACCCTCAAACACACTTTGTCCAAATTCACTGCAAACGTCAGTCAGAACTAGTCCATTTATTTTAATATAGGTGAACTATGTTAAAAAGGGTCAATGGATGTTTAAGGTTATTTTCCATCATGGCAGGAGATAAAAATGTTAGTATTCAGTCTGAAACTGAACACAGGTTAGCTGCTCACTGAGCCAGAAACCTTAAGCAGGCGTACTGCAGCTGGGAGCTCAGCGATACTGATGAAGAAATTCAGAATGAATGAAAAACTGGACATAAAAGATTAGTGGGCCCTCTGCTGCTAAACAGCGGTAACCTGGTGAGTGCAGATGCCTGTAACATCTGTCCATGCTCTCCCTCACATCTGTCTGTCTCTCTCTACAGGTTCAGGAACAGTCTGAAGCAGAACATCTGTGTGCAGATGCTAAAAGAAGGCTACCACAGGTATCTCTGTCTGATTGACGGACTGATTTAGGATTTGTTTTTTTTTTTTTGGTTAAGATGTATTTTTAAATTATTCACCATATGTTCCACTAATTTACTATGAAATAAAATGTATGATGCCTTTTTAGTGCCATGACCCACGAGCTGTCGCTGTCATAACTCCAATCAGAGGTGGATAGTCACAGTCGGGTTCTTTGGCTGTGGCTACACTGTGCAACAGCTCCACCGTCTGTTTCTACTCCCACTGTGCATTGTCAGTGAATTACTTACGTGTGTCTTATTCTCCCTGTCATAAGAACACAGTATTTTCCTGTGTACACACACAACAACTTAGTTCCTCATTCTTTCAAAACACTGCAGCTTCCTCTTCCTCTGCTTCTTTCTCTCTCTCTTTCAGGTCATTCTCCGAGCTCTTCTTTCTGATACACTCCAACCAGGATGAGACGGCGTCAACCAAACCAGGTTCAGTTGTCAGCCTTCTGACTCCACTGGAGGAACAACAGGACAAACTGGAAGCCATGAGGCTGCACCTGACCCGGGCCGAGCAGGCCGAAAGGATCGGTACAGCATGAGATACTTACATTTAGGGTTTGCTTAATGGAGTTTTGTTTTTCAAGACAGAGTGATGCACGTCAGGGTTAGCAGGTTCTCCCTCACTGCATCTTGTCTGTGTGTGTGCAGGCTCCTGGTCAGTGGTGTGTGAGCAGCGACTGTGTTTAGGTCAGTATTTCTCAGCTCCAGAAGATCTGTGGCTCCGTTTCCACTTCTACCACAGCTGTGCAGACAGAGAGCAAGGAGGCTGCTCGAGACCGGCCACCGAGGCCCGGGTCTGCTTGGCTGAGCTCTACCTGCAGCAAGGTGGACGACACACAAACACACACACATCAGTACCTTTTGCGTAGATTCCAGGAGATTCTGGAGCTCTACTGGAGGGATGATCACAATAAACCACAATGACAACTGTATAATGAGAAACAAACAAGGTTGTTATAGTTAAAGGTGAAACAATATGTCATAAAGCTAATTCAGAAAGATCTTATGTCTCCTCTGTGGCCCGTCAATCCCTCAGGAGATCTGGAGGAGGCAAGGCATCAAGCGGAGCTGTGCCTCACGCAGGCGGACAGCGGGGACTGGCTAGACTCAGCTGGTTGTCCTTTGAGGCTGCGGGTTCGCCGGGCGCTGTGTAGGATCTACAGCCAGCTTGCTGATGCTCCCCTGGCCACCGCCAACTATGACGAGGCCTTGGCGCTGCTCCATAAAGGCTACAGCATAGCTACCGAGTGTAGGTGGAAGCAGTCTGTTTGTTTGTACTATAGAACATATCCTGAATATGCTGAAAGGGAGTAGACACATGCTCACATATAGACACATCCAGAATATTTATAGACAGACTGTGTGTGTTTGTGTCGAGAGAATCGACTCAGCTAAACGCTGAATACAACATCTGCTCTTCAACTCAGACACAGTCAAGTCTCACATCGTGTCATGTCCTATGAAAACCATGTGTCTGAAATAACTTCTCAGGCTTTGAAAAACAGTATCTGCTTTTTTTAATAATGCATTTTTCACACAGCGTTGGCAGCTTATTAGATACATCTAGCAGCTAAACTGATCAGACGGTCTGCAGTAGATCCTCTTTCATGCAGGTGATAATGTTCAGTTTGTGTGCAGAGTGTTTCTGAAAGGTGTTGATTCAACTGTGTGGTCATTTTGAACAATGAATTGAATTGTACTGTGTTATACTGGCAGGTGTCTCTCTCATTTACTTCAGTATGTGTAATTACCTGTGTCTGTTTCAGCGGAAGACAAAGAGATCCAAGGGGATGGTGCCTATCGACTGGGACTGGCCTATCAGTGCTCAGGGGACCACGACACAGCTAAAAAGGTGACCGAGTGAATGGTAAAGTTCTCCTCTGTGAGTCCTGAATGTCATCAAATCCCATGAAAAGACCAAAACAAACTATGTGTTTGTCCGTCTCTCGATACCTTCTCACTTCCGTGCTCTGTTTGTGGCTCTCGTCCAGATGTAACGCTTTAAACGCACCTCATACATGTCCAGTTTCATTTTTAGAAAGTAATTATCTGAGACAGCTAGACTTTGTGGGGGACCATTATGAGTGGCGGATTAATCCATATCTGGTTTCTAGTGAGTAGTTATATGGGACTGAGTCTAAATAAACTCTCTAGTGTGTGTTCATGGTGAGGAAGGAACATGTGGTTGACAATGGGTTTAATGGTTTCTGTGGCACATCGGAAGGAGAGATGTCAGGCTGTGACACACACATATTAGTAGATTCCTGAACTGCGGGTTTGGATCTTTTAATAGGATTTGTTGACACTAGGGAACATAGAAAATCACCAGACTGAATCTTTAAAACTGTCTGTGTGTCCAGTTCTTTAACACTTGCATGCAGATTTGTGGCACACTGCAGGATGCAGACGGACTGGGAGAGGCCTACAAGGCTATGGCAACGTCTCTAGAGAGGTAAACACACACAGTCTCACTGGTGTTTAGTATTGTTAGTCATTATTTAGGTATGGGTGCACACGTTACAGTCAACTTTTCAGTGTCTGCTTGACAGTTTGTCATTACAAAAGTTTATTGTGTGTGTCGCCTTGTGTTTCTGTCTTTGAGAGGACTAAACAGTCATAGTAGGCACAGTTTGCTTTATGAGGACCTTTTTGCTGGTCATCACTACTTCAGAGTATTATGTGAAGGTTAATACCTACAGCCCTTCTCTTGTTATTGCAGCTTCTCTATCCTGGCTGGGAAAAAGGTAGAGTAGGGTCAAGGGCGTGGATGTCAGTGAGAGTCCCCACAAGTATACTATATAATGTGTGTGTGTTTTAGTGAGGGAAACACAGACGCGTCAGTTCGTTGTCTGGAGGAGTTTGCAGACATCTCCCGTAGCAGCGGACTCCTGCACAACCTGGTGGACGCCTGTCTGTGTCTGGGCAACGTCTTCTACACCATGGTATCTCTCTCTCACACTCACACACACACACACACACCTCCAGTGATTATTAACCAGTGTAACTGGTGAGAGCTTCCCTGTTAGCAGTTAGAAACACACATCTCAAACAGATGAGTGCGATTCCCTCTTTGACAAAACTACCTTGAAAAAGAAGTTTAACACACGGTTGTTTTATTGTCGGTTTCCTAAACACTCTGTTGAACATACATGACCATTTTTATCTCTTTATTTTATTAGAATTGCTAAGAATGCAAATGCTCTGACACAACAATATTCTTCTTGTTTTGACTTTGAATTTTCAACTTGCATTATATCAAACTGTGTGTGTAGAGTCAGTATAAGAGAGCCTGTGAGAGCTTCCTGCAGGGCTACGAAGTGGCCTGTCAGACGGGCGACGTGGCTCCGATACAGACGGCACAGGTACCTTATCTTTAAATCTAATATCTGTATGGGTCTCTTCACACTGCCTGTGGCACTAAAGTCCATCTGTTGGTTGTTCCAGATCTTATTTTTTCATGTATTTAACAGGGACCATACATATAAATATAAATATTGTTGTATATAGATCAGTAATCTAACAGTTTTCAGTGTTTTTAAAAGGTTGAATTTAATTATTTTCTCATTCCCGTTAAAAGTTCAGTGTTTGTTCTCGACCTTGGAAATAGCAGTCAAGAGAACAGTCTTGCGGGCTTTGATCAGATGATAATGATTAAAAGCTCCAGATCAGCTGCTAATGATCCTTTTCTTTTATAAGCGATGACATAAAGTCAACACTCCTCTTCATGTCCCAGTGTGTCCAGCATTTCATGCCCAACAAACATTGCTGCATGTAACAATGCATATTAACAGCTGCTCTCCATCAGGTGCTGGTGGCCAATGCTCGTGCTCGTTCCCTGATCAAAACGTACAGCGCTGACGTGACTTCGGCCACGCCCACTGCCCTGCATCGATTGCTGGCCTGGAAGGACACCAGAGGACACGAAGAGCTGAGTGCAGACTGTGCAGCTCCTACTACTACTGCCTGGTACTGACTCAGAGTCACATGCTGAATACTACTGAGACAAATACATTCTCAACAAAAAGTGTTTTAAAATAAAGCATATCTATATATGTAAGATATTGTTGGTGTGTGTCAGTATGTTGTGATATATTTTAACCCTAATGCCAGTGGAATAAAAATGTGTTTAAGCTGGTGCCATTTATTTTGTTATTTCTGTGATTGCATCACTGATAAACCTGTTTTCATTTCAAACATACAGTAAATGTGTTTTTTTTTTTTTGCTGCTTTGTTTTATACTTTTGGGAAACTTTGTTTAAATACTTTTCATTGTTTGTTTCAAAAATATAATAATTTTAAAAACCATAAAATACATTTTTAAAAATTCTGGTCCTTTATTTCTTTACCTTAATTTTTCTGTTTCCTTTATTTCGATTAAACACCTATTTTGAAATATACCGCATCCTTACGTGATCTGTGTTTGCTATAACATTATATTGTTTATTGTAGTATTTATATTGTGCATGCAGATTTTACCTGTATTACGGTAATTGAAAAATCCGCAGTGTCTTTCTTTCAGTCTTTACGGCGCTGCCGAGTCCACGTGTCCGGAAGAGGCTCCGCTTGTTCTCGTGTTTTCTGATAGAAAACCCTCCAGAGTAGAAACGGAGTTTGGGAAACTTTGGTCCGGTCGATGTGACGGGGTCAGGCGTGCTGATGAGGTGAACCTCGAGGTTGGAACATGGGCCTTCTGGTGAGGATCCGGAAGGAGTGGTTCATCCTCGGGATAGTGCTGGTTATCATATCGGCCAAACTGCAGCCCAGCGTCGGCGTCAAAGGAGGTGAGTGGGTCGGTCACTTGTCAGTCTTAAACCCCGCTGGCGGCAGCTTGTGGCGTTAGTGTCGGACTTGGAAATAGTTTTTCGTCTTTATTATTCTTTGCTCATGGTGACGTAAGCCGTTGGGGAAAGATTGGGGACTTTAGATTAATAGTTACGGGAGTGATTCACCAGCATGTAATATTAAATAAACAGCCAACTTTTAGACTTTGGCTTAACTCAGCTTCGAAAATGTGGACTTTCTCCTTAAATATGTTTTGACTCGTGTGCATAATGTAAAGGCAGAATGTACAGAGTAGTGTCATAGTCAAAGGGTGTGTTTGTTTAAAGGCACGTTAACTAGATTTCAGGGTTTTATCAATGGAGGTTCCGTATTAACCATGGAGGAGGATGACGCTGTGTGCACTTCCTCCTCACCTGGCAGTCAAGTGACACGTTGCATAAAGCAGCACTGCTCTCGGTTAGTCATCGTATTTACTGCCCGTGTCTTACAGCTAAAGACAGTCAAATAAACACACCTTCACCGAGTAGTGGGCTCTGTGCAATCTGAGTTCGGTTCTTGACATTAAACAAACTCCTGTGCTGCCTTCAGGTGCTGTGTTACACGTCAGGTCCACAGGCTGTTCATCACTAATCTACCATTATCCCAAGCGTTATTTTCCATCTACAGAATTCCCTTATTGTGTTATAATAGTATGTTAAAATGATAATGCATCACACATTAAAACACTGCTGCAAACTCTGTGTAACAGACTTTAAATCAGTTTATTGTGAGATGCTGCTGCTTTACCCATGTTTATTTATCTGTGTGTTTAGTGAATCTGACATGTGTCACATTCACTGAATTCATAAAACATGTATCTGAGACAAGCAAGTTTGGAAACACACATAGACATTTCTACACACAACGTGTTAAAACGTCAGCATCCATGTGTGTTTATCAGTAGTTAAAGTGACCGTGTTGTGAATAGTTCCTGTTCCACTTGGTTTTAATATTCAGGGGTACACAATTGTTGTGAACGTGTAAAAACTCAGATTAAATAAGGAAATTCAGTTCATGTTGGATAAATAACTCTGGCCGTGTTTATTTTTATTTACGGACACAAGTGCCCCAAAAAGTAAATGCCCTCGTTTTATTGTTCTCTCAGTAACTTGCTTTGCCTGAAGCTGTGCTGATGATTTTATATTATTTCTAGGATCCAAGGTTCCAGGCAAAGGTTATTTTCTTTGTTTTTAGGTGAGAAAAATGTTGTCATCTTTTGTTTATGTATGTTTATGTATTTAGTTTGTCATGCTCATCGTGTGTGCTCTGCTCAGCATGTTGATGATGGAACATACGTGGTGTCAGCTGTACTCCAGTCAGTTTGTGTGTCTGACTGTCCTCCTCCTCTCTCTCAGGTCCACTAAAGCCAGAGTTCACCATAACGTACGTCGCCGTCTCGCTCATCTTCTTCAACAGTGGCCTGTCGCTGAAAACAGAGGTAAGAAAACGACTGATCCTCCGTCTGTCAGTCAATATGAGCTACCCCAGTGATGCGTTCAGGTGATGTTGGAAGAGATTAATGTGAAGGCTTGTCCGTCTGTAGGAGCTGACCAGCGCGTTGCTTCACGTGCGCCTCCACCTGTTTGTCCAGTCATTCACACTGATTTTCTTCCCGCTGGCCATCTGGCTGCTGCTCAAAGTGCTCGTGCTCACCGCCATCGACCAATGGCTGCTCAAGGGGTAGGTTGAGTGTGTGTGTGCACACGTTTGTGTGAATGGCATCCTTCAAGTCCCCGTCTCACTACCTGAAAGCAGAGTTGTATAGGCACACAAAGACCCACATTCATGGATACTGTAGTGTGTGGAAGACTTCCTGTATGATGCCGTTTAAACTGACTGAGGAGAGACAAATTAATCTGAAATTCTAATGTTGTGTTTAATGACGCACCAAATGAAGATACCTTGAAATCACCAACTACAGGTATGTGCCAAAAAATTAGAATATCGAGGGAAAGTCCATTTATTTCAATAATTTGTTTCAAAAAGTGAAACTTGTATGTTATATTAGTTCACTACACACAAAGTGAAATATTTCAAGCCTTTATTTGTTTCAATTTTGATGATTATGGATTAAAGACAAAAAAAA